AGATGGTGGGGAATTCCTTATCTTTGTATTGGACCGTCCATTCTCTTCTTTAGGGGCGAAGGCGAAGGATCCATCTGTGGAAGAGGAGGAACCATCCGTGGTGGTCCCATTACTTTTACCCTGACGTACTCTATTCGCACGGGCGAGGTGTTTCATCACATCTTCTTCAAATCGCTGCAGACTCGCTTTACTATCTTCCTGGTTCTGTTTTAACTGCTGCACAATCTCACGTAGACGTTGTGTATCCCGCCGTTTACGCTCCTCCACCGCCTCCAACTCCGCTGAGTAGTCTTTACGCTCAAACTGAGTATCCCGTAGGCGATTGCGGACACTAATATAGTCCTGGCTCTGCAGAATATCCCGCAGTTTAGAGAAGGAGGCATCCATGCCACCCGAACGATTATCCCAATCGGAGAGTAAACCACTGCCAATAGACACCAATCGCTCTTGTTGTTGAGTGAGACGGAGAATCTCCGCTTGATGTTCTTCTTCCAATCGATGCGCTTGTGCTTGAGCCTTTAGTAACTCCCGCCGCATTTCACTTACTTCCTGTTCTAATAATCGGCGTTGACGATCCTTTTCAAGCATATCACTTTCACGTCGTAAGTTTTCATTTTCAATGTGTTGTTTTAATCGTGATATCTCATGTTCCTTTTCACGACGATAACGTTCCATCTCTTCTTGACGTCGAAGTAATTCTTTTTCATATCCTTCTTGTGCACGTTTAACAGCCTCACCAGAGCGTTGACGATCAGAGGCACCAGCGGTTACTTGTTCTCGTAATCTTTTCAATTCTTCTTGGAATTCTTTACGCATCTTTTGAACTTGATCATCATAACTGTTACGCATATTTTCCTTTTCATTTTCCATTCTCTTACGTTCAGCTTCATGGAATTCTTTATTCTTTTTCATACGTTCTTCCATATGATCTAATTTTTCAACATGTTTATCAATAAGTTGTTGATATAATTCGCTACTCTTTTCAATAGACTCCTTCAAACGATTTTCAGATAATTTTTGTAGGTCTTCCATTTCAGCAACATGTCTTTTTTGCATATGATCTACTTCCTCACGATGAGATTGACGAAGACGACGAAGTGAATCACTTACATTATCATTTTGATCAATCACAAGACGAGATAAACACTTTGTAAACTCCTTCTCTTTAAGTAACATAGTATTATGTACAGTATCGGATGCCCAATCCATATAGAAAAATACGAAACGCTCTAAAAATCGTTCCTTTTTCAAATCATTTTTACGGAATTTTTCCAAATCTTTCTTAAGACTTTGTATACGTGTATTTAATTCTGCCACTTGTTTATCTTGTGCAGGAGTCTCTCCATTTCTGTTTGGATCTTCTTCACTAAGTTGACGTCGTAAGGCCTCCACTTCCGATTTCGCCTCTTCCAATCGGGCACGGAGAACAGAACTGTTGTCTTCCTCCACATTTCCTCCACGTCGGCGACCAACACTGGAATCCGGCTGAGCCCCACGTGCACGTCTAGCAGATGCCGTCATTAAATCTTCTGTACGAACAACAATACCATTTTCCTCCAATTGAGCTCGAAGCTCTACAATGAGCATTTCTTGTTCTTGACAACGTTTTTCCAAATAGGCATTTCGACGTTGTAATTCCAAAACATAATCACGGCTAAATTCATTAAGTCCAGCATTTTGAACCACTTTCTTCAAACGTTCTACTTCAGCTGTTAACATTTTAATTTGTCGTATTTGAGGATCTTCATTAATAACAGCTTTATTTACAATTTGTTTAGCACGTGAGGCATATCGAAGGGTTTGACGCATTTCATCAAAGTTTACACAGTGAGGTGATATCGTAGCCACCATAGAAGTTTTACTATTTCCACCTAAGGAATCCATTAACAACCAGGTGAGATTAGAATCACGGTATGGTACAGGAACAGCGAGAGACTTGGATTGTGAAAGATCTGCCAAACAATCAATCACACGTCCCAAGGTAGTAAGAGAAAGATTAATTTTAGTACCTTCAAGAAATTGTTTACCTTCTGCCCCAACTGCACCTGTTCGTTCTGAACCTGCAAGATCCACAAGATTTAATTTACTTTGCTTTTTGCAAGTATTACCAGCTTCATCAAGATACAATTGTAAAATATTGAAGGTTAAAATAGCATGACTACGACTACTACGGTCGTTAATTTTAGTAGCTGCCGTATGTCTTTCAATACTACCTTTTCGAATAACTTTGGCAATTTGTACTTCATTCGCCACCATCTTCGCCGTTAGATCCTCCACATATGGTCCATTTAGAGGATGATGACGAATTTTAAGATCCGCATCCTTTTGTGGTCGAATAAGATCAAAGACTTTTTCATTATAAATTTCATAATATTCCACTTCCACACGGTAGGAATGGGAAGGATCTTTATCTCGCATTTCACGAAGACCATCAAAAAGCTCTTGGCTAATACGTGGAATAATACCTTGAAGATCATTTGGATCCAATGATGTGGTATCTACAACGTCAATATCATTACGATCCACATTAGCCCTTGAACTTGCTTGACGTGCAAATAAATCTTGACGACTGCTTTGATTACTTACAATAGATGCACGTCTGTATCGACTGGGTGAAATAGATACAATAGATGGTTTTGAACCATCACAATCATCATCATCATCATCATCATCGTCCATTATAGCTGTATGTCGTTTACTGGCAGATCGTAAATCAGAGTTCTTTGGGGCATATCCTAACATTGTAAATGTTTTTCCACTTCCAGTTTGTCCATAGGCAAAGACACATCCATTATAACCTTCCAAGGTATTCACAAGTACTGGACGTCCCACTTCATTATAAATATCTTTCTGAGAGCTGTAGGGAGGATGAATGACGGTGGAACCAGCAACAACAGCGGCATTAGATCCCGCACCTTCAAAGGATGAACTATTCTCATTAGCATTTCGTCCACGTGCAGAGTGTAGGCTGTTACTGCCAGGTACTGCAACAAATGATCCTGTACGAGAAACCCTATTGCGTGCAGATGGAATATTAGTATTAATAAAAGCATCAATGGTACCACGTATCTCTTCAGCCGTTTTATCAGAACCTTTACTTTGCTCTAAAACGGACCAAAAACATTTTGTGAAACTAAAAGTCTCACGAGGACGAAATTCTTTATTTGGATCCAGTAACGTAATAAAACAGGGATTTTCTGCATCAACACGTACAGTACTGTGTTGTGGCATATTTAAAGATAACTCCCGCTCACTGAAGGGACGTACACGCACATACACCTTCATTGCATTTCCCTGTTGTTGGGCAATATCCATGGCTCCCCGGCGTGGGGTTGTGAGAGATCGCGCCGATTGCATTCGCCGAAATTCACGATCGGCATTTTTCGTTACGGATGTTGGCCGTGCAGAAGTTGGTCGAGATGACATTGGTCGAGCGGAAGGTGGCCGTGCAGAGTTTGGAGTGGAGCATACTGGGGAAATCCCTGACATTGTTCTTTTTTGGTTCTTTTCTTTTCTTTTTCAGAAATATTCAGTCGCTCTTCTCTTTTTCTTTTTCTTTTTCTTTTATTGTTTTTTTTACTTTCTTTTCTCTCCTCCGTATATATATATATATATATATATATATAAATATAAATATAAATATAAATATAAATATAAATATAAATATAAATATATATATTTGTACTATGTAGCTGCAGTACCGTGAACTTGAAAGGAGTTGTTCGGATTTGATACCCGTAATATAGTAGAAGCGAAGAAAAAAAAAAAAAAAACAGACAAAGTAGAAAGGATAGAAGGTCCTTAGTACTTCAATTCTCTCTCTCTTTTTTTTCCCTTCACCTTTTTTTGTATTTATTTCAAAGTGTCCTTCTCTTGTGCCACTAAACTATATATATGTATAGTGCAGTTCTTTCTTTTTTTCTTTTCTTTTCTCTTGGCTTGCTTTTTGGTAGATAAACTGTATACCCCTCCGTGCAACTTGCTTTTATAGTTCACACAGAGAGAGAGAGAGAGAGAGAGAGAAACAGAAAAGAAAAATAAAGAAAAAAAAAGATGGGAGAGAAGAAAAGAAAAATTGTTAACAAAAAAAATAACATTGCATACATGAGCATTTTCTTTTACAGTATGGAAAGTAAGATAAGAGAATCACGTTAGTAAAAAAAAATAAATAAATAAATAAAAAAGAAAGGTGAACAAAAACAAGAACAACACAGGTACTGTGCCTTTTACCACAGAGTATGAGAAATCATAAGATTATCTCTCTCCCTGTGAAGAATAGGATTGAAACTTTTTGTTTTCTGTTTTAAACGAGTGTCTGTTTGAGTATCTGTATTCCTAATAATAAATAAAAGGAATCAGAAATGCCCTCTCCAGTTAGTTGACTCTATTTTTTAATCCACACTTTTTTCTTTTCTTTTCTTTTTTTTTTTTTCTGTTTATCGAGCCCGACGGGGAGCATTAGGTTTAAACCGTGAGTTCCTTCGCTGTTGCAAATTCTGTTGAATACCGTCATTCTGCCGCTTAATCGTTTTCGCTAAGGCGTTAAGACTCTTACTGCGCTCTACACGTTGTTGAATCTCCTTCATACGTCTTGCCGCCATTATTGTTTCCTGCTGTTCCTTCTCTCTCCGCAGCTGCAGAAGATGTTCCACATCATCACGTGGTTCATCTTCCTCATCTTCATTATCATTATTATTATTATTAGTAGTAGTACTAGCACTACCAGATCCAGTGGCTACATCTTCCAAAAGAGAAGAGAAACGATATTTTTTCATTTCCTTCTTTGCACGGAGTTTCTCCACAAGGGCTGCACGCTCCGTCGCATCCTTCACATTACTTTTTCGTAGTTTCTCCTGCATTTCACGTCTCTCACGTCGTCGTTGTGATGATGATAACATGCGTGGACCTGCAAGCAAAACTTCCTCAGGAAGAACGGTATCGCGCAGTACGGAGAGGGTACCACGAATAGCAGGATGTTGTTTTAACATTTCTGGAGTAGCATCAAAATATTTTATAGGATTAAATCGACGAAATTCATCATCATTTTCAACAAATACAATATGTTTATTTTGGGGAGGTGCGGAAGTAATAGCTGCAGATGCATCCTCATTTAATAGTTCTTTCGCTCTACTTAAATCCCCCTGTGCTTTGTATTGAAGATATTGTACATTTCGAGTATTATGTTGAAGTGTCTTTTGCATATTTCGTTGATTATCTTCCTTTGTGGATGGTCGTCGTTTCATTTTTCCAGAGGCAATATCCAGTACAGCTTTCGTCATTCCAATATGAAATTCATCCGGATTTCGCTGGGCCGCTGCCCGCTTAAGTTCCAACAGCCGCTGCACCTTTACCTTTCGCTTCTTTGATCGGATAACATGATCCTTATGTTTCTCAAGTGGTCCCAAGTGTTTACGTGAGGCAGGCTGCGAACGTTCTTTATGGGTTGTGCGCTTAATGTGCTTATCTAAGTTGCCGAAACCGGGAGTACGTCCTTTACCCTTTGTCATTGTTTATTATTATTTTTTTTTTTTTTCTCTCTTTCTGTCTCTGTGTGTATATGTATAAACAATAGTTTCTATTTTATTCTGGTTATATGGTTAAGGTTTTTTTTGTTTTTTTTTTTTTTTCTTCTTGCCTTTTTTTTTTTTTTCTCCTTTTCCTCCCCTACAATCCCTTCTTGCTGTTGTTAGGGTTACACTACAGCTGCTGTTGTTAATTCGTGTAGGACACCGTGTGACACAAGGGATTATTAACAGCTATAAGAGAAAAGATATTAATATTATTAATAGCAATAAGAAGAATAGAATAGAAAGAAAAAAAACAATAATAATACAGTAATTTTCTACAACCATTAGGTTGCAAAAAAAAGAGAATAAGAAAATCAATACCTCAGAGAGAAAGAAAGAGAGGGAGACATCCTTAGTCATACAAACAATAGTTTTTTTAGGATATTATACGAGGCCTCTTGTGAGTAGGAAAGAAAAGGAAATAAAGGCGAAGAAACGAAGAGAACACTAATAATAATAAAAAAAAAAAGAAGAATTAGTGGTTTCATAAGCAATGAAGAAAGATACATAAACGCCACCATAAATAAATA